GGGCGGCAGCCGCTGCCGCCGCCGGCGGGCGGCACCGGCTGGCGGCAGACGGTGCGCAACAACGAGGCCAGCAAGCGGCGGCGCTGGGAGCAGCGCAAGGAGACGGCGCAAGAGGAACCTTCCCCGCCAGCGGCAGCAGCGGCAGCAGCAGCAGCACCAGCAGGGTCTGCAGCAGCAGCGGCAGCAGCGGCAGCAGGGTCGACAGCGGCTGCTGCAGCGCCCGGGACGGGGCCGCCACCACCACAGGCCGCGGAGCCAGCTGAAGGCCAGCCCCTAGCAGGTGCAGGTGCGGGAGGCCACGCCGACGACTGCGGGGCATTGGCAGAGGAGGATGGTGGTGCAGCAGCAGGGGCAGAGTGCCACACTCCGGTGACGGCGCGCATGCTGCCCGGTCCGGGCCAGGCTGGAAGGCAGCACGCGGGCGGCAGCGGCGGCGGCGCCTCTGCGGCCGGCACCGGCCAGCGCTCTGCGAGCGCCACCGGCGGCAGCAGCGGCGGCATCCCCACCGCTCCCAGCAGCAGCCGCCCCGGGTCTGATGCGGGCACAGCGGGCACAGCGGGCACTGCAGTGGCTCGCAGGCGGCGCCTGCAGGGCACGGCTGGGGCAGAGCCCGCAGTGGGCAGCGGCAGGCTGCCGCTGTCAGCTGGCGGCTTGCTGTCAGGCCTGCGGGCGCCAGTGGTAGGGCAGGCAGGGCGGGCTGCGGCGGCGCCCACATCCTTCAGCCGGCCCCAGCTGCCGCAGCCAGCCAGCGCTGCTGCCGAGAGGCCTGCGGCGCAGCCGCGGGGGCGCAGGTGGAAGCCTCACAGCAACCCGCTCACGCGCCTGCTGCAGCACAACGCGCCGCCGCCGCAGCAGCAGCAGCCGCCGCCGCCGCAGCAGCAGCAGCAAGAGGAGGACGATGGTGGCAGGGCCGCATTCCAGCCCAACCGCCCCACCCGCTTTGCCGCCTACCCATCCCCGGCGGCGGTACCGCCCAGCTTCTGCGCACCTTCCAGCCTCACCACGCAGCTTGGCTCCCTGCAGCAGCCACGCGACTGGGGCCCGATCAGGGGCACCCAGGAGCATGCAGAGTGGCAGGCGGAGCAGGCGGCGGCAGCGCAGAGGGCGGAGCAGGCTGCGCGCCAGCGGGGCAGCAGCAGGGCAGGCCCACCAGTCGAGCTCGCTTCTCTACTGATGATGGGGTGCCCACCTGCAGCACAGCCGCTGGAGGAGCGGGCAGCTGAGCAGCAGCAGCAGCAGCAGCAGCAGCAGCAACCCCCACCGCCGCAGCCACAGCCGCAGCCGCCGCAGCCGCCGCCGCCGCCGCAGCAGCAGCAACCCCCGCAGCCGCCGCTTCAACTGGGGCAACATGGCCAGCTGGGGCAGCAGGCGCCTGGCAGCGTGGCTCGCAGTGTGCGGAGGGCGTCCGGGACGGCAGCCACGGGGACTGGCGGCCTGCTGGGCACGGGCTGGAGCCTGCCCCCCACCCCAAACTGCTTGTATAACCTATCGCCTGACCCATCCCTGCACCAGCCGGCGGCGGCAGCGGCGGCGGCGGCGGCGGCAGCGGGCAGCGGCGGCCGGCGACGAGAACCCTGGAGCTTTGGAGTTGCTGCCGCCGCCACCGCCGCCACGCCGTGCTCGTCCGCTGCGGCCGGCCGGCCGCGCTCCAGCGCCGGGCGTCCGCTCGGCAGCGCAGCGCCCGGGGCCGTGCCGCGCCGCCTGCCCGAGTTTAGCTGCGTGGCTGAGACGCCGCTGCTCTTTGGCAGCCCCGGCAGCAGGCCGCAGCAAGGGGAGCGGCATGCGGGCTCTGCTGAGGATGCCAGGCAGCTGTTTGTGGCTGAGACGCCTTCCGACCCAGCTGCAGAGATGGACTTGCCTGCTGATGGCCCGGCCCCAGCCCAGCCGCAGCAGACAGGGTGCGGGCCGGCAGCAGCGCCAGCTCAGCAGCAGCAGCCAGCGAGCGTGAGGGCCGAGGCAGCCACACCTGCCGGCACAGCAGCCTCGGCAGGCCTGCAGCTGCTGCTGCCGCAGCCGGTGCTGCAGGCGGTACCGTGCGCCGACGGGCGCCACCTGGCGCTGCTTCTCGGCAGCTTCGCGCCTGTCGGCGAGCCCACAGACGTGCTGGTGCTGCGGTTACCAGCGGGACCGAGGTCGGCTGCTGCCGCCGACGCCTCCTCTGCTGCAGCCCAGGCAGGCACCAGCGCTGCCTTCAGCGGGGTGCAGGTGGTGGCCTCGGTAGCGGTACAGCGCTCGCGGTGGGCCGAGGGCCTGGAGCTCACGCCCAACTGCCTGCAGCTGGCCAGCACAGACAGGTGAGGCGTGGTGCTGGCCGCTGCGCCACGCTTGCAGGCGCAACGGCGCCGTGCTTGCAGGCGCAGCGGCGCTGGGCAGCAACACATGGTTTCAACCGGCTGCCAGTGGCTAGCGAAGCGCCTCCTTTGCAGCTTGGGGACGGCATTGTGCTGCCCCTTCCACCATCTTCTGAAACAGCTCCCCGATGCTGCTGTGTGTGCAGGGCCGGCCTGCTTCTCATCCTGTCTGCTGCCCTGGAACCAGCAGACCAGTCACCCCCCAGCCAGCCCTCCATCCTGGTCCTGCCGCTGCCCGCTGCCGCCAGCCGAGCCGCCGGCCCCGGCATGCCAGGCCCCCGGCAGGTGGCGGCGGCGGCGCCGGCGCAGGGTGCACCTGTGACAGGCCGGCGGCCCCTGCCGCCGCTGGCTGTGGAGAGCGCGCACCCGCTGACCTGCGTGCTGCTGGCGGGCGGGCGCAGCCTGCTGGCCTCAGGTGCGTGCGCCAGCCTGGCAGGGCGCAGGCGCCGTGCCCACCGCGCCCCTCCCTGCCGCCGCCGTGTTGTGACTTTGGCAGCGCATGTATTGGCAGCCCGCTGTCCAGGAGCAGCCTCCGTGTGCACCGAACAGCTCCACCTCCACCTTTTGCACCCAAGACCGGCCTCCTCTGCGTGGCGCCCTCCTCGCAGGCGACGGCGGCGGCGAGGTGCGGCGCCTCGATTTCGACCCCCTCTGGCGCTCCTACACCTGGGCCTGCCGGTTCCCGCCCGCAGCCTACAGGTCTGCCTGCCTGCCCCTGCCTGCCCGGTGCCTTCCCCGCCTCTGTGCCAGTGGCCTGTGCTCCGTGCATCCTGCGCTTTGGGCTGCCCAGATAGCATGCCCCGTGATGCTGCTGCCAGTTCAGTGGCACGCCCTGCTGCGCTTGCCGAGTAGCGGGCCGACATGGCTTGGTGCCCTCGCAATTCTGGCACGCGTGCAGGGCGGTACAGTTTGAGGACGTGCTGCAGCTGCAGCTGTACCGCTGCCGCGAGCAGGGGCGCCAGCTGCTGCTGGGCCTCAGCAGCGGCGGCAGCGTGGCGCTGTGGGATGTAGCCAGGTGGGGCGGCAGCCTGCTGTGGCAGCCCTCGTGGTCTGCTGCTGCTGATGCGCCTCATGGCCGCTGCTGCTGCTGCTGTGCCTGCAAGTAAGGCGCAGATCTTCACAGCCGGCTGGCTACAGCCTCATGGGCTTGTGTTGTCTGCCCCGATGCTTTGTCTTCACACACCCTGCTGACCGGCCTGCCCTGCTGCTCTGCGCCCCTTGCTCCCCCTTGCCCCTGCCCGCAGCTGCGAGCTGCTGGTGGCCCGGGCGAGCGGCACCTACCGCCTGCGCTCCCTGCACCCCATCAGCATGCAGCAGGCGGGCCTGGCCACGCCTTTGAAGCAGCGTGTGGAGAGGGGCGGCGCAGCACCAGCACCGGCGGCCGCGGCTGGGCCCAGCACCAGCACCAGCACCCAGCTGTTTGTTGGCATGATGCAGCACCGGCAGAGCGGGGAGGAGCAAGTGGGGGCTGTCATGCTCAGCAGGAGCGGCCTGTCGGTCAGCGCCTGCCGCCTGGAGGCACAGCCCCCACCCCAGGCTGGCGGGCGGCCGCAGCAGCGCCAGCGGCCCGAGCGGCGGCCGGCGGCGACCGGCGTGGCGCTGGCAGGCGGGCGGTGCTGGGTGGGCACGTCGGGTGGTGACCTGCTGGCTTGGGATGCCCACAGCGGCGCCGTGCAGGGCTGCTGCCGCTGCGGCAGCGGGCCGGTGGCCAGCTTGTGCGCCGTCCCCGCGCCGGACGGCGGCAGCGAGGAGGCAGGGGCGGGCGGCTGGCAGCTGGCGTCAGCAACGGCGGGCGGAGCGTGCACGGTGCTGGCGCGGTGCTGAGGCGCAACTGCGAGCGTCTCACCCATCTCAGTGCGCCGTAGTGCATGGGGAGTGAATGCATCGTGCAGCATTGGTGTAATTCCACTGGAATTACAGTTAGTGAGCTGCATGTGCATAAGGGGGGGGGCACTCCGAGCAGCGGCTTCTTGGGCAGCTTCAGTGCTTGCCCTTACCTCGTTATTGGCCGGCCTCCCGTCCACTTCCTGCCTGCCTGCCTGCGCATCTGCTCGTGGCTGGTGCAGCATAACCCGCCGATGGCTCCCAGCAAGCTCATCTACCCTTTTGCCTTTGCCCTGCTTCTAAGCTGGCTCCGGTACGACTGTCTCTCGATCGCTCCTTCGGCATTCTACAGCTCTGTACCGTTGCCTGGCAGTGGGCCTTGTTCTCTGTTTGTCCGTGCGCCAGCCAGGCAGCCGCAGCCCGAAGAGAGTGCTCCAGTCGGCACACGCTTGAGGCCCCGTTGGGGGAGGAGCTTGAACAGGCATGCACTGCACTGAGAAGGGGACGGAGCAGGCAGGTGAGGGCGCGCTGGAGTGCAGGTTCCGACGTGAGTCAATGGCTGCACCCCGCGCCCCGTTCTCTGCGCCCTCCTCAGCCGCTTGCAGCAGCGGGATGCAAGGGATTTGGCTTGTTCACGGCACTATGGTGGGGGGGAGGGTTTGGAGGTGCCTGCGACACCAAAAGGCAGCTCCGGCTGACTGTTGCCTGTTCCCCGGCGGACAAGGCTTTACATCCCCCATTCGCTGCTATCGTCTGCTTGCAGTGACAAAAGTGGAGGCGGTGCAGCAGATGGGCGTGGGGGTGGAGCACCGTGCAGCGGCGGCGGCGGCGGCGGCGGCCCACTGCCGCCGCTTGCAGCGCCACCAGCTGGAGCTGGTGCCTGGGCCCGGCCTCTCGCAGGACGACGGCAGCAGCGCGGATGAGCTGGAGCGGCTGTGCAACACGTTTATGGAGCCAGCCAGTTCCTCCCTGCAGGTGCCGGCAGGGCCAGCACCAGCCGAGGCGGTGGTCGCCGACGTCCGTGTGGCGGACGCGGGCTGCCCCGCTGCCGCAGCGGCTGCCTCGCTGCAGCAGTTGGAGCAGCAGCTGGCGCACTGGCAGCACCGCCAGCAGCACAGCCACCACCAGCAGCAGCTGAATCAGGCGGCGGGCGGCGCGGCGCCACCGCCGCTCCCCCCGGGCCTGCTGCAGCAGCAGCTGTGGCAGATCCAGGCACAGGGGCTGCTGATGCAGCAGGCTGCCCTGGCGGCCGCCTCCGTCCCCAATCCGGGACCGCCTTTCATGGCAGAAGCAACAGCAGCGGCCACCCCAGGATGGGAGCACGCAGTGCAATGCGCGGCAGAGCTGGCCGCTGCCGGCGCCGCCCCTCAGCATTGGGCGCACGCCGCGGCAGCGGCCTGCAACCCGGGGGCGCAGCAGGAAGCCGGCGGGCAGCTAGCGGGGCATGCGCCGGAGGCGGCGGGCGGCGTGCAGCCCCTGTCCGAACTGTCCCTCCTCTTTGCCCAGGCGGCGGCCGCCTCCGGCAGCAGCCCTCCGGTGCCCATAACCTGCGACAGCCCCGAGGCACAGCTGTCGTGCAGCGCCAGCGGCGCAGAGGACACCACGTTCTCCGCCTCGCACCTGGCCGGCGGCGGCAGCCAGCGCTGGTTTGATCGCATCGACAGCACCGGGCGCAGCGGGGCGGCGGCCGCGCCGCCGGACAGGGCGCGGCAGCGGCGGGGGCGGAAGTTCAGCGATGCAGAGCTGGAGGTGATGGCGGCGCAGGACCCCAGCCGCTACAAGCGCATCATGTGCACGCGCAAGGCACGCGCCGTCTCCTGCGCCCGCTGTAGCACCATGCTGGGCAAGCTCGCGGCGGAAAGGGCCTCCCTTTCGGCCGGTGCTTCTGCTTCTGCAGTGCTTGCCTTATTTTCTGGCCTTGCCTGGCCAGCTGTGGCTGCCAACCTGGCCGCCCTCCCCACCTGCCTGCAGTCTGTGGCAGCGCACCGCCAGCGGCAGCGGGAGCGGATGCGGCAGTTGCGAGCCCAGGCGCAGGCCGGCAGCGAGGCGGCCGCTGGAGCCACGCCCGAGCGCCTTGCCGAGCGCCTGCAGCAGCTGGGTGAGCCCAGCAGCACAACCTAGTGGCGCCTGTGCCTTGTCCCCTTTTTCGACCTGTCTCTCACACGCACATACATCGCCCTCACAACCCCACCCCGCTGCTGCCGCAGAGGAGGACAACCGCCGCATGCGAGCCCAGCTGGAGAAGCACTGCCCTGCCCAGGCCGGGTCGCTGGGTGTGCCTGCGGCGTAGCATAATGGGCGCCTAGCAGAGTTTGCGCCGTTTGGCGGCGGCTGTACCAACCCCTCTCGATGTGCACCTCCACCCGTTCGCTGTCCATTAATTGTGAACACCAAACTTGGGTACTGTCCATCACGCAATGTACGATGAATTGCCAGCTCGTTCATGTTCCTGCCTCGTCTTTTGTGCGCTGCCTGCTTGCGCCTCAGTGGCAGATTTTGGTGGTTGCCCCAGGCAATGCATGGTTTACAGCCTCTGTCTCCCTAGCTGGACACCCCATTCTGGCCTTGCAGCAGCCGCTATGCTGACACCAGCCTCCCAGACCCCTGCAAGGCCTGCCAAGTGCTGTGTGCCATTCGCGCCTCCGGCCATGCCTGCCACCATGCATGGCCGGAGCCAGGGCACTCCATTCTTTTCTTCTCGGTTTGTAGCAATCAGGCAAGGGACATTCCTTTGTCTTTCTGCATATTTTGTTCCGTCGCGCCCCTCGCCTTAGCTACAGTGGCATGGGCCTTTTTGTCCCTGGTCAACCCTCATCCCTGGGTCTGATTACACGGATGCTGCACCAGCAGGGCCCCGCCCACCACTGCGCCAGTGTGACTCACAGGCCCTCGTTGTCTCATGTCATATATGTTCATGCTACCCACAGCTCCAGCCGTCAGGTGATGGTGTAAGCAAACTTGAGTTCCTAACAGGGCGTGGCGAAAACGGGCAGTTGGCCGCAGCCGGAGAGACAGCGGGGGCCAGGGGCAGGCAGAAGCTGCTCTGCAGTATCGCTACTGCTAGCCATCTCCTAACTGCGCCCGCCAGGATCGCGCTCATCAGTTATTGTCTGGCAGGCCCGAGGGCCACGTCAGCCCCTGCACCGGCTCCAGTATGCGCCGCACGTCTGCCAGCGCCGCCGCCTCCTGCTGCCGTAGCGGCGAGGCCAGCAGGCCCAGGCCTTGCAGCACCGCCTCCACATTGTCCCGCACCTGCAGCAAAAGGACCGGGGAGGCAGCGGGCGTTCACGCGGGCCAGGCATGTGCCGCTGCTGAACAGGGCTTTGCCCGCCAAGGGCAAGGCACACGCAAGCCCCGACCCCAGGCACCCATACACCACACTTCGACCCACACACACAATTCCCACCACCACCTCTTTACCCCCACCACACGTTGGCCGCAGGCCCACCTGATGCCGAGTGCAGAAGCCTACTAGGTGGGAGGCGATGGCCGGCTCCTTCACACACTCCATGAGCGCCAGCTTGGGCAAGCTGACGCCGTGGGCGGCCGCCGCCACCGCAGCAGCAGCAGCCGCCTGCTGGAGCGGCTGCGGGGCCGGGTGCCAGGACGGCGGTCCCTGCAGCGGTACCATGGCGGTGGCTTGACGCTCGGCACAAGCATGGGCAGACTGGGTTTCGATGCATACCACGCCATGCCGCAGGGCCACACCTGGTGGGTTAAGAGCCCCATGCTAAGCACGCTAGCGTTGATGATGCCCACTTGCTTCTCCTGCAGGTACGGCAGCAGCCTGCACACCCAGCCAGCCAGCACCGCACAGGAGGCATCAGCCGTGAGGCAGCAGCGAACACAAGCAGCGGGGGTAAGCACAGCCCGAGAGCAGGAGCGATGCACCGCCATCGACAGGCGGCCGCAGGCAGCTCAGGCCCCGCATGGCAGCGCCGACACCCAGGCAGCCCCGCCTGCTCACGCCGCCAGGCTGCGGTCGTTCAGCGTGTAGTGGCAGTACGACAGCGCTGTGTCCACAGCCCCCGGCGGCGCCCTGCAGCGGCACCCGGCACATGCAGAGGGCGGCGTTGGCAGGGTGGCCGCGAGGCACCTGCCCCCAAACTGCCACACGCCACACATCACAGCCAAACAGGCACCCAGCCCACTGCTAAGCCAACAGTCAACCAGGCAGCCACCAAGCCATCCCATCAGCCAGCCAGCCGCCAGGCTCGCCTGTCCAGCACGAATTGGAAGATTTTGAGGGGCAGGCCGGTGATGCCGATGTGGCGCACCAGGCCCTCCTCCCGCAGCCGCTGTAGCGCCGGCAGCGTCTCGCTCACAATCTGCAGCCGCGGCGCGCGGCGGGGCGGCGGCAGCGCGCCGAGATCTGAGCCGCAGCGCTGAACTGCTCCAGGCGCAGCCCATGCAAGCAGTGCCTCTTCGTCCCAACCAACTCAGCAGCAGGCTGGGGCAGGCGCGGGGCTGGGCCTGGCAGGCTGCCTCCTCCTCCGCCTCCCTGCCACCTCCCCTCCCCGGCCTGCCCAGCACAGGCGTGCGTCTTGCACCCCCACCTCCGCCTCCCTGCCCCCTCCCCGGCCTGCCCAGCACATGCGTGCACCCTGCACTCCCACCTGATCCAGGTGGGTGAACTCGATGTCGTGGCACTGTATGAGGTCAACGTACCCCAGCTGCAGCCGCGCCAGCGACTCCCGCACGCTGGCCGCCACCCGCTGCGCGCTGCAGCGGAGGGGGTGAAGGGGCAAGCGGCGCAGCCGACAGAGCGGGTGGTAGTCAGGCGGGAAGGCGTGGGTGGGGGGCAGCGCAGGCACGGCAAGGGACAACGGCCGGGGGCTGCGAGCGCAGAGCGGCGGTAGCAGTGTTGGCAGAGGAGACGCGGCTGCAGCTCTGCTGGCAGCATGAGCGGCCTGAGGCTGCCGCGCAGCGCACCTGAAGTCAAAAGTGTCGGAGCCGTAGCGGCCCACCTTGGTGGCCACCACGATCTGGTCCCGCGGCAGCTGCGCCAGCCCACGCCCCAGCACCTGCGTGGCGCGGCACCAGAGCGGCCGTGGCGCGGCACCAGGACGGCGGCACGGGTGGGTCGCCGGCCGGCGTCGGTGTTTCACGGGGCGCTGCCCCCCGGCGCACCGGCGGCCCCGCGGCGAGCCTAGGCCATGGCTGGGAGCTGCGGGCTGCAGCTCGCAGGCGGCCCGCGCTGCAAACGCAGCGCCAGGCGTGCCCGGCAAGCGCCTAGCGCCCACCCAGCACCCACCCAGCCAGCGCCCAGCACCCACCCAGCATGCACCCAGCACCCACCGTCTCCGATTTGGTGTCTCCGTAGAAGGGAGAGGTGTCGAAGAAGTTGATGCCCAGGTCAAAGGCCTCCTTGACCGCAGCCACGCCCTCGCCCTCGTCAATGGCCTGCAGGGGCGGCAGGTGGCGGGCGGCGGCAGGTGGCGGGCGGCGGCGGCGGGGCGGCGGCAGAGCGGGCCAGGCAGCCTGCGGTTACGCTGCATTGGCGCATTCCCGCCGCGCCATCGAAGTCGGCAGCGCTCGCCTGGAAGACGCCTCCCAGCGGCGAAGCGCCAAAGCCCAGCACCGAGACCTCCAGCCCCGTCTGGCCCAGGGGCCTGCGAGGCATCTTGGGCAGGGCCGCCTGCGCCATGGAGACGGTGCAGCGACGCAGCGGCTGGCGGGCAGAGGGAGATGAGTGGAGCAGAATGGCGGGGAGGGCTGGAAGAGCGGCAGCTGCTGCTAGATTGAAAGCGGCATGCTTGGATGGATTGGGGAGCCGGCGATCGGCGCCTCCGGAGCATGCCCGATGTGGGTGGCGCCGCCCGCCGCATGCGGCACCTCACAGTGCCCGCCTTACTGAAGCTGTGGCGCCTGCCAAACATGAAGCGGCTCTGACTTACAGTGAGCTGGAGCAACCGCAGGAACGGAGGGAACCGAGGGATGAAGTGAGCATGCGACATAACCGCACATCGGTTCCATGGGAAACGGCAGTGTGCGGCGCGGCGGTGGGCGCCACGTCGTGCCCCCCTCCCTCTGCAGGCGGGGCATGCTTGCCGGTTGGAAGAGAGGACATCAGATGAACACAAGTTAAGGAAAAGAAAAAACTGGGGTCGGACGGGACACGACTGAGGCGGCAGCCTGCCCTGGGGGAGCGAGGGCAACAAAAGGGCGGGCACACGGCGCTGGGGTGAGCGGACAGGCGGGTCAGGACGGAGTCAGGCGGGACCAGGCGGGTGGCGGGATCAGGGCGGCGGGGTGATGGTACCGTTCTTGTACAGGTAGTGAGCGTACGGCACCTTGTAGTGCTTGCCCAGCCCCGCCAGCCCATACCCAGGCCCGCTGTACCCTCCGGCAGCCACGTAGCACTGCCACCTGCACGGGGCCGGGCGGCGGCGGGTCGGTCGGACCGGGGGATGCACTTGCACGCATGCGCTTGTCGGCGATCTGCCTGCCAATGGTTGGAGGGTGGGCCGGCTTGGCTGGCTCACAGTCGCACTCTGCGCAGGCAGTATCGCAGGTACCGCCGCCAGTGGCATTGCCACCCCATGCTCAACCAGCAGAGTAAATTCAATGGCAGCGAGTCACCACGGCCGGCCCTCCAGCCACCCTCCGGACCAGCCACTTACTTGGTCTGGCCCTCCTGTGGCCAGGTCAGCGAGAACTGCAGGAAGAGCTCGTTGCTGGGAAGCTTCTCCACCTTGAGGTTCTTGGGGAAGAGGTTGAAGGCGGTGGTGTTGAAGTTGGCCAGCTGGTAGCTGCAAGGAAAAGGAGGAAAGAAGGAGGAAAGCGGCGGCAAGGGAGTGGGCGCGCCGCACGGGCAGGCGGGCGGCAGCTCGGCGGCAGGCGCCTGGCGGCACGGGCTTCCGCAAGCTGCGCCCCCGTCTGTTGCCATGCGTGTTGGGCTGCCAGCGGGTCGGCCCCCGCCCACCACGCCATCCCACAGCACGCACACACCACCGCAGGGCGAGGGCCCTGCGGCAGCCCGGAACTTGGCAGGAGCGACTCACGAGGGCATGTAGGCGTTGGTGGTGTTGGCGCCAGTGGCGGTACCGGAGCGGTATGCAAAGATGGCATGTGACTTGATCATGCCCCCCGTGTCGTTGCGCTGAGACCAGGAGATCCAGCCGGGGCTGGTGCCCCTGCAGGCACGGCGGCAGTGGGAGGTGATGAGGGGAGGGGTGAGGTGAGCGGCGGTGGCGGCGGCAAGGGCAGAGCGGCGGCGGCGGCGGCGGCACGCGGGTCGGCGATGCCAGCACATGTGCGTGCTCGGACCTGCGCCGCTGCGCAGCCCGGCCTTCATCCTCGCGGCTGTGCCACTCCACCTGCCACCTCCAGTCCGACGAGCGACTAGAAAGCTACTGGCTGGCGGCTGGCGGCTCACTTGAGGGCTACGTATGTGTCGGTGGCGGTGATCGAGCCAAAGGGGTAGAAAGTCGTCTTGGTCTGGGTTTTGTAGTAGACGGTGAGCGGGTAGGAGGCCCCCATCTCGGTTCGGGTGTAGCAGGAGTCATATTGGAAGCCGCCGATGTAGCAGGGCGGAGGGGGCGAGGGCGGCGGCGGCGAGGGCCTTGGCGGCGGCGACGGCGGCGGGGCCGGCGGGCTGGGCGAGGGTGGCTGCGGGGAGGGCGGCTTCGGGGGCTTGGGCGAGGGTGGAGGAGGGGCAGGCGGCTTTGGCGACGGCGGCGGCTTGGGCGGGCGGGGCGACGGCGGCGGGCGGGGCGGCTTGGGGGATGGCGGCGGCGGTTTCGGAGGGCGGGGCCTGCAGGGGCAAGGCGGCGGATGAGAAGCACAGGTGTATGGACAAGCCAGCAACATCGGCCCAAGTGGCAGCAGGGAGGCAGCATCATTGTCCTGCCTGACGGAAGGCTAGGACAGCATGCACACCGGGGCGGTGGCTTCGGGGGCCGCGGGGAGGGAGGGCGCGGCGGCTTGGGCCTGGGGGGAGGTCTGGGAGGCTTTGGGCGCGGCGGAGGCTTTGGGCGCGGCGGAGGCCGCGGCGGAGGACTCGATGCCTGCAGCTTTCTCGTGCCGCCCTGCAGACGCGCACACCAGTACGCGCAGTTTCCACGTCTGGCCGCCAACCACCACATCCGCTAGCGCTCACCCGGCGCTGCAGTTGCCATGCCAGTCAGCAGCAATCACAAGGCTGGTGTGCAAGCAGCGGTGGCGAGCGGCGGCGCAAACTCTGCCGTGCTGGCACAGTACTGGCGGCGGACGAGCGGCACCGGCCGGCGGCGGGAGCCGCTTGCAGGGCGTGGCGGTCAACGCGCCGGCCTCTGGTGCACTGCCGGCGCGCACCTGGGGCTCGCCCGGGCCTGCATCTTCCCTCAGCTCGCCTGGGAGCCTGCCTGCCGCCGCGGCCCACGGGCCGACAAGCGCCACCGCGAGCACCAGGAGCCCTGCGGCAGCCTTCGGGCGTGCCATACTGCTAGTGAGCGAGCCTGCAGAGCTAATCTCTCAAGAGGGGAGACGCCGTTGAAGTCCTCTTCCCCTCCCGCGGCAGGCTGTGCGCTGCAGTGCTCGCTTCAGGTGCAAGTAGGGCGAAATGTGCCCGCAAGCTGCTGTTAACGGCCCGTTGAGCAGGCTAAGGAGAAGGGCCCATCCTGAAGGTACGCCGAGATGCGGGAGGGAAGCTGCATGCCTGCAGAGTGTGTCGCCTCTTAAACCAGCGTGAACAGCCTATAAAGGTATGCTGAGCGCGCAGAGGAGAGTGCGGGAGAGGGGGGGGAGTCGCCGAGGAGCGCTTAGCTTCCCTGCCACCGCCCGCCACCGGGACCACCATCACATACTTTTGTTGTTGCTCACCATCCTCAGGGGAGATATCCTTACATGTCAGCGCTGGTTAGAGCCGACGCGCCACCGATCGTCACAACTAAGCTGCTGCTGCTTCTGCTGCGGTTGCTAAGGTGCGGCGGCGCCGCCGTCCTCTTGCGCTGTGGGAGGTGCTGCAGGCGCCTCCCTCAGAATGTCCCACTTCCAGTGCGCCTCCCGTACCGCCGCCTCCGCCGCCGCCACCCGCTGCTGCAGCGCCGCGCCCGGCAGCGCGGCCAGGCTGGCGGCCACGGCGGCCGCCGCCGCGGGCCCCGCCGCCGCCGCCACCGCCGCCGCCTGCTGCCGCGTCAGCGCCAGCGCCAGCGCCGGCGGAGGGTGGGCCAGGATGTCGGCCGCGGCGCTCGCCTGCTGCTGCACCAGCGCTGCCAGGCGCTGCTGCAGCAGCGTCGCATCGGGGGCATGCCCCAGCAGCAACAGCAGCTCCGCCAGCTGCCCCACCTCCCCACACGTGTCCGCCGACGGCGCCAGGCCCAGCAGGTGCTGCGCCAGCTGCTCCTCCTCTTTGGGGCCGCCCTGCCGGATGCGGCTGCCCTGGCTCTTGTTCTGCGCGGCGGCGGTCGGCCAGGGTGGAAAGCGGCTAAGGATTATGTGTGCTTTGGGCCCTGATTTCTTTGGGGACTGGGGTGGGGTGTGCTCGCTTCCCTAGCCAGCACGGCTGCTGCTTTGCCACCGCCACACGCATTGCCCACACATGCGGGCGAATGGGCGGCGTGGCAGCCGCCTGCCAGCCTCGCAGGCCCGCCAGCCAGCCGCAAGGGCCCGCCCTCCTGCCCCGAAACCGCAGCTCACCCTTGTCTTGCGCGGCTTGCGCTTGCCGCCGACCGTGGAGGCCGGGGTGCTGCTGCTGCCTGCCACGCTGGTGGCCCCCGTGTGCGTGTGCTCGGTGTACACGCTCAGCCCGCTCACCAGGCTGTCCACCACGGAGGCTGCAGCAGGAGATGAGCAAGGAGGAGAGATGAGGGAGGGAGGGAGGGAGGGGGGGAGGGAGGAAGGGAGTTCCCAATGTTGGCATTGGCCTTGCGGGCATGACTCAGTCAGCACACCCAGCCAGGCCTTCGGCCTGGAGCCAAGGCGCTCTAGACTGGACAAGAGGATGGGCGGGGGCGGCCCAGCTGAGGCGCAACCGATGCCCAGCCGCCCTTCAACCATAGTTAACCCTAGCTAAAGGGCGGCTGGGCCTCAGGAGTATCCGGCAGGGGCGGGCCCCCACCTGTGTCATCAAACACATCCAGCTGCTGCTGCCTGCTGGGCAGGCCCGACTCGGCCTCTGCCGCCGCCAGCGCCGCCTGCGCATGGAGGGAGGGGTGCAGGATCAGCGCATGCGGCCGTGGAGACAGCGACAGGCGGGTCACGAACAGCGGGCACAAGGCCAGGCATGCCCACAGCGCCGGGCAGCGCGGCTAGAGCTGGGACGGCTTGCCACGTGGCCGGCCGGCGGCAGGCATGGAGGCAGCCCTGCAGCAGCGGCGGCGGCCGCCGAGCAGCGCAGCGCCGCCATCCCACCTCCATGTCGTCTCGGCGCTGGCGCAGCTGGCGCAGGCGGGCCCAGTACTTGCCCACCCGCTCGATATTCTCCCCGATCTCTGCAGGCGGCGGGCAGTGGCGGCACTGCTTCTTGTATCAGAGTAGCGGGGTTCTCGTGTGGCTGGCAGGGATGGAGGGTGCAGGATGGCAGAGGGGGGCGCAGGAGGCAAGGAAGCCGGCCATGCCCATCTGTCGAGCGCCTCCGCAGCAGCGCAAGGCGGAGCCGAGCCGAAGGCAAGCGGCGGCGCACCCTCGAGCGCTGCCGCCGCCGCCTGGGCGGCCCTGGGAGCCACCACAGTGTCCACTAGGTCTTGCCTGCGAGCCGGGCATGCACGGGGCAGGGCTGTGGGCAAATTGAAAGCCGGGGACTCCTGGCTTGGCTGCTCAGCCTAGACCCAGCACCAGCAGCGCAACACACACAAACACACACACAAGCACACAGCGCAGCTGCCCGGCGCGCTCCTCGCCTGCTGCTGCCGTACGCCACCCGCAGCGCCTCCCGCCACTCGCCGCCGTGCGCCAGCAGCAGCACTGCGGGCCGCGCGGGGCAGCAGAGCGTGAGGCGGGCCCCTCCAGGCAGAACCCGGGCGCTGCAGGAGAGCCCCGCCCGACATGGCGGCAGCGGGCACCTGCCCGAAATGCCCGCTGTGGAGGGCACCTGCTGCCCCCGCAGCGAAGCGTCGGCGCAGCCTCAAGCAGGGTCAAACCAATACAGCGGGGTCACAGCAATACATTGGAGCAATACAGGCAGGCCCCCACCTGCGGTATCCACGTTGTGCAGGTACTCCAGCGTGAGCTGCGCGGCATCCGCCGCCCTGCCAGCTGCCGCCAGCTCATCCGCCAGCTCCGCCGCCAGCCGGCGCCGCGCCTCGGCGCCCCACCCCGCCTTGGACGCCAGCGCAAAGCACATGCGCCACTGCCCGGCGGCGTGGTAGGCTGCAGGACAGGCACGTGTCAGTGTGTGTGTGTGTGTGAGCGTGTGTGTGGTGGCAGTGGTGGTGGTGGTGGGGAGGTGGACATGGGTGTGGGTTGAGTGGCTGAGGCGGGTGGTGGTAGCCACAGCAGAGATGTTGGGGCAGGGAGAGCTGTGTTTGGGTGTGGGCTGGGTGGACGAGGCGGGTATCACATAGCAGGCACGCCCTCCACCCAGCAGGCTCACCTCGGATTGCGTCGTCCAGCTGCCCCGCCGCAACATACGCCAGGCCTGCAGGCAGGAAGCCGAGCAGGCAGGAAGCCGAGCAGGCACGCAGGCGGCAGGCGGGAGATGCTGGGATGATGCAGCACCCTTATGGGACAGGGTCCGGCGCAGCACAGGACCAGCCGCCGCCAGGCGCCACGCTTCCAGGCCGGGGCCCCAACCCTCGCCCACCTGCATCCTCCTGCAGGTTTCTGCCCTCGAGCACCTCGCCATAGGCGGCATGCACCTGGCGCCGCCGCTCCTCGTTGCCTGCAGCCAGAACAGGAGGCGGGCAGGCTGTCACGCAGGCTCAGCGGCAGGCAGGCAGGGCGGTGCATGGCGGGTGAGCAAGCCACCCCGACAGCTCAGGGCAGCGCTTCCCGAGCACGCCGGCACGACAGCGGCCGCCGAGGCAGACCAAGACCAGCAGAAACGGCAGCTCGCCTTCTTGCAGCTGCAGCAGCAGGCGCATGAGGCCCTTGTCGCGGGCCAGCTCCAGGGCGGCGGCAAAGTGCTCCTCGCCAGCCGCCGCCAGGTGGCACAGCGCACGGTCCCACCGCCTGCAGCCGGCAAGCGATGCAGCCGGAAGCGTGAATGGAGATTCAGGTGCCCGCCCTGGGTACCACAGTGGAAGGCGGCAGCCAGGCGCAGAGCTGTGGTGTGATGGGGCTGAGCAGCTTCCTGGCAGAGCTAGAGACTGGTGGGCCGCCTCGGCCTCATCTGTCCTCCTGGACCGCCCCACACGCTGCCTGCCACCCACGCACCGCAGGTGCATGTCTATCTTGTGGCGACGCAGGCGCGGGTCCTGCACCGCGGCAAAGGCCTGCAGCTCCAGCAGATACTCGCCCGGATCCTTCTGCGGTAACGTATGGTATGGGCGAGGGTGGCATCGCGGTGAGGGTGGGCAGAGAACAGGCAATGACGCACAGAATGGTGGACGAAAATTTGACAAGATGAGGTGTACAAGGTGAGCGCATGCAGCTTGGCACAGCGCTAGCGAGCGAATGCCTGGGGGCGCCGAGCACTGCGAGCGGGCCGAAGGGTGGGTCATGCTGCTGCCGCAACCCCTTGCTTGCCTGGCTGTGCGCGACCACCATGTACGCCAGCTCCAGCTCATACATGCCCAGGGCCGCCTGGTAGCTGCACGACAGGCACGACGGGCACAGCAGGCACAGCAGGCATGGCGAGGTTGGTGGTGAGGTGCAGCATGCCACTGATAAGGCCGCAGCTATAATAAGGTCGCAGCTATACCGCATGAAACGCACGTCCAGGCACGGCACAGCACAGCACAGCACAGCATGGCGCAGCACGCACAGCGTGTCGTCCGTGATGAACAGCAGCAGGTGGCGCAGCCCGTCCTCCGCCGTGGGCGCGCCGCCCTCCTGCCTCTGGCCCTGCAGACCGGATTAATGCAGGCGGGCCGGGTTGGACACACAAAGGGCAGAAGCGTCCTCAGCATCCGGGGCATGCATGGCCGTTGCTCAGCTCAAGCCCCCCCCCCCCCCACACTCTCTCCCCCTCTTTCTCTCTCTCTCACACACATACACACGCAAACACACAGACCCCAACACTAACCAAACAACCTGCCACTGTCACACAGCATCCCCACCTGAAGCTCCTCCTCCTTGGCCCGCTTCACCAGCGCCAGCGCCGCCCCCAGCTGCCCGCACTGGGCGTGGCTGGTCAGGATGGCGCGCAGGTAGCGAGCCTGCAGGGGCGTGAGGGCAGCATTCACTTGCTCCGTATTGGTGTAACAGACAGACAGGGAGGCCCGAGGGCGCATCTTTGGTGGGGAGGCTTAGGCAGGATTGAGGATTAGTCAGGGTGATATTGAGGGGCAGCTAGCGGCAGACGTGCGCAGGGTTTGGCCCTGTGCAGGGCACGGATGCAGGGTCCGCAGCCGCGCCGCCCCACCTTGTCGCGCCGCTCGAGCGCATCCCGCACCGCGGCGCACACCAGGGCGACCTTGCCCCCTGCCGCGGCCCCTGCGTCTGCCTCCTGCTCGCCCTGCTGCCCCTGCGCCGCCTCTGGCACCTCCACACCGGCTGGCAGCGTGCTGGGAGGTGCCAGCGGCAGCGCTGCGGCGTACAGCCCTCCGGGCGCAGCTGTGGAGGCCTCAGCTAGGGCCGACAGCAGGTCTGCCAGCTCTTGGTCATCAGACACCTGGAAGAAAGAAAGTGGAAGACATGCAGCTCTCTCTCTTTTAAAGACGGAGCACGCCAGCGTGGCCCCCTCGGGCGGCAGCTGTATGGTGCGGCATGGTGATCAGTACCACCACCGTCCGTTGCCAGTACCGCCACCTACTCCCTGCCGGTACTGCCTCCCACCTGCTCCACAAACGCGTCCGCCTGCCCCAGGAAGCGAGGCCAGCGGTAGTCCACCAGAACATTCAGGTCCAGCCGGTTGGTGGCGGCCAGCTGCCAGGCGCCTGCAGCAGGTGAGGCCACCCCTCGGCTTTGGCGATGCAGCTAGAGAGGGCAGAACGGTACGATTGGCCTCCACACAGCCCTGCGTCCCAATACTTGGTTGCAGCTGCACTGCCCCAAGGAAACGGCCCATACAAGCATTCAAAAAATCTCACCCGCAAAGTCGCCGCCGTCCAGCGCGGCGGCGACGGCCGGCAGCACCAGCGCACGGGGTCGTACCGCCTCCAGGTTCCCGCGGGGCATCTGCAGTACCGCCTGGACGTCGCCTGCGGCGGGCAGGGGCAAGGGCAGGCAGGGCCAGCTGAACGCATCTCTCCAATGAAAAGATACGTCTTAAACTGTGTCTCCTGTACCTCATAAAGCAGGCAGGCTGGGACACGAGGAGGCTGGCAGGCACTGTTTAAGCAGTGCTGTCTCCCTGCCGACCGAAGCAGGGACGAATGCGGCAGCGCCGCGCTCACCAGGAGGCACCGCCACCAGCAGCGCATTCTGCTCCACGCTGCGCACCATCACCCCCGCCGCCGCCGCCCCGTTTGCCGGCCCTGTGGGCCGCATGGCGGCTCTCATCGATGCCATGAAACCCTGCTGCTGCTGCTGCTGCTTCTGCTGCGCCTGCGCCTGCGCCTGCTGGGCTGCCTGGGCTGCCGGCTGCTGCCACTGCTCCGGGCCTGCCGCCGCCATCGTCTGCTGGGAGCCTGGCGGGCCGCCGCCTGCTGCCAGGCAGCTGTCCACGGGCTGCGTGTGCAGCGTGTGCTGCCGGGTGGTGTACAGCAGGTACGCGCCTCCGGGGCCGCTGTTGCGCAGCTGCAGAGGGCGGGCATATCGGGCAGGCGAGTGGGTGGGCGACCGGCGGGCAGCAGGCGCAGAGGCGCCTTGGCGCATGCAAGTCCTGGCGGCAGGTGCAACTTGTGAAAAAAGCCTCCACTCCCCAGCAATGCCAGCTTGCCAGCAGGCACGCTGTGGAGTGTGGTTAAGGCCAGCCGCTGGCAGGGGCACGCACCGCAAAGCTGGTGACGCCTGTCGCCAGCTGACGAGCACCCAAGTACAGCTGGCCGCGGCTGCTGAGCCCAAACGCGGCCGCTGCGCTCTTTGCTGCCGGGGCGCCGTCGGCTGGAGCCGCCGCCTCCGCCGGCACTGCGACCATCTGGGAGCAGCCGCAAGGGAAGCTGGCGGCTGCGGGCAGCGGCTGCAGCAGGCCACCCGCAGAATACGCCAGCAGGGTGCCGCCGTGCTGCTGCAGCAGCACGCCGCTGCCGGGCGGCGGCCGCGAGCAGCAGGCCAGCAGCCGCGGCACGCCGCTGCTGACCGCAGCCATCTCCCGCGCCGCGCCTGCGCCGCCATCCACTGCCAGCTCCACCAACAGGGCACTGCTGCTGCTGCCGATGCAGACCACCAGCAGCAGCCGCTCAGCATCCACCCAGGCCGCCATCTGTACAGTGCCGCTGCCCGTGGCGGCAGCAGCCCCCAGGGCCGGCGAGTCGAGAGACAGCAGCTGCGGCAGCAGCATGGGCGTCCCGGGCCTGCAGCCGGCAAGGCGAGGCGGCAGCAAGGGCGCACGCTGGATGCAGCTCACACAGACGCAGGCACAGTTTCCTGCCTGCCTCGCAGCTCACAGGGATGGAGGGAGGATTTGAGCCTGCCATGCAGGGAGGTGCACCCGCGCCTGCAAGCCAGCACGCGCACACCCACACGCCGCCCTGCTGCCCCACCTGCCCCACCTTCCCCACCTGTCCCAGGGCTGCTGCTCCAGCTGCTCCTCAAGCGTCTCCTCCCACAAGTCGTCCTCCACCGCGGTGAGCAGCGCCAGGCTCCCATCTGACAGCACGGCGGCGAGTGCCTGCAAAGTGAGGAGGTCCGTGACAGCCATAGGAGGCGTGGTGGGGCAGCAGCCTGGCACCAGCATGCCATGTAGCGCCCGGCTGCCCCCAGTATATGCAGCGTGTATGTATGTCGGAAGGCCAAAGCTGCCCGTGTACCTACCTCCCGCTCCCCATGGTCGCAAAACGCCAGGCAGCTGACGGGGGCGGGCATGGCGGCGGTGACGCCGCACATGGGCGGCGGTACCACTGCAGGCAGGGCAGGGCAAGCAAGCATGGTGAGTGAATAGCTGTGGGCGTCGCTCAGTATTGAAATGCTGGGTGCCGGCTCTGCTGCCGGGGCGCAGCACAAGCAGGCCACGCACGCCCGCATCTGCCGCCATCGCCAAGCGCTTGCCTGAGTGGCGCAGCGGCGTCAGCAGCAGCGCGCTGCCGTCCACCACGGCGGCCGTGCCTCGGCCGCTGACCGTCGCCTGGCGCGAGAACTGGAGCTGCAGCGACAGCGCAAATACCAGCAGTAGCAGCAGCAGTTTAGGTGTAGTCGTCAACTCGCAGCGCTGCATTTGGCGACGCAGCCCAGCAACCCACGAGACAGCCAAACAGGCCAGGCGGGGGCCCTGCTCAAGCGCCAGCGGCACATGCAGCAGCAGCAGCAGCAGCAGCAGCAGCACAGGCTCACCTGCTGGTAGGTTCCTTCTGCAGAGACAGTGTGCAGCAGCAGCGGCGCGGCGGCATCCCACCAGCAGTGCAGCGCAGAGCAGCAGCGGCTGCGGCGCTCGGACTTGAGGTACCACCGCCAGTTGGAGCGGTGCCACAGCTGCAGCACCTGCTGCGGCAGGCCTGCAAGACGGCGGCAAGGCAGGGCAGGCCGAGGCGTAGTGGCAGGGGAGAAGGAGCCCATTGGGCAGGGCGGGGCAGAGCAGGATTGCGGCTGGCGGCTTGGCCTGCTGGCGACGGCATGCATTGAGGCACGCAAAGCACTGGTTTCCATGCGTCTCTCTCCTCTCCAAACCGGCCCCCTGAGGCGGGGGGGTGCCACCCAGGCATGTCACCCACTGTCCCCCCTTCTCTAGAAACGACACAGAAAAACACCCACCGTCCTCGTCATCCTCTGCCAGCACCACGGCCAGGAACTCAGAGTCTGGGCTCCAGGCCAGCTGCTCGATGGCGCTGGCCCCGCCCGCCGCCGCCGGCGGCACGTCAAACCCGCCGTGCTGCAGCCCATTGCGTTCAAACAGCAGCACACAGCTGGCAGCGGCGGCAGAGTCGGCGCCCCCCGGCGCGGCGGCGGCCTCGCGCTGCTGTTGGCGGCGGCGCAGCTCGCGCTTCCAGGCGCCCACGTGTTGGATGCCCTCCGCCGCCGCCTGCAGCGCCTGCTCGCTCTCATCGGGTCGCTGGTGCCCCTGCTGCCCCTCCTGCTGGGAGGGAGGCTGCTCAGCTCCCGGCAGCCCGGCCGCCGGCTTGCAGACTGCGGCATACAGGTGGCGGCCGTTGGGCTGCCACGCGACCGCCGGAAGCAGCCCCGCAGCTGCCTCGCCCTCAGCATGAAGCTCTGCCGTCTCTCGGTCCCACACCCGCAGCGTGGCGGCGGCGGCACCTGCGGGGAGGCTGGCAGGGCGGGGTGTGTGTGGTGGTGGCGGCTTGGGCGGCGCAAGGCAAGCAGCAGTAGCAAGGTGCTGAGGGCACGAGGAATGGGAGCTCGATGCAGCTTCGTGCGTGCTGCCGGCAAGGCAGCGCAGGGCACAGCCCGCAGCCAGCAGGCGGTGGCTGCTGACCTGGCGTGTCAAGGCTGGCGGTGGCAAAGTAGCGGCCGTCCCCGCGCCACGTCACGCCGACGCTGCCAGGCGCCAGCAGCGCCTGCTGCAGGTCGCCGCTGCCGTGCACGCCGCCGCTGCCGGCGCCAGCCTGTGCTGCAGCTGCTGCGGGCTGCTGCAGCAGCGGCACCTCAGACAGAAGCTCCCACTCCTGCATTGCCGCCAAGTGTTGGGTGGATGGATAGGTTCAGCGCCCCGCTGCAGCCCGCACAGCAGCATGGAACTCGCTCATGCACGGCACAGCGTGGCCCAGCACAGCGCGGCGCAGCGCGGCGTGGCGCACTTTGTTCATGAGCAGCAGGCTGCCCGCGCAGGTGACCAGCACCAGCAGCTCTCCATCCGGGCTCCAGGCTGCCGCCGCCAGCCCGCCATCCACCGCGCCCACCTCCTCCACCGCCGGCGGCTGCCCTGGCGGGCTGCTGCTGCCGCCGGCGCCCAGCAGCAGCAGCTCTCCAGAGGAGAGCGCCAGGCAGAGGGCATCCAGCTCTGGCAGGTGATCCAGGGCGGCGACAGAGGCGCCCGGCGGCGGCGGCGCCCCGCCGGCCGCCTCCAGGCGCTGCCTCACGTCGACAAACCACAGCAGCTGCGCGGTGGGAGGGAGCGAGAGGAGGGGCCGGAGGTGGGGGCTGGTGCTGGTGTACGCGTCTGGGTGCGCAGGCGGCAGTGGCGGCAGGAGGCGGCACTGCTGCCGCCTCTGTGTAATGAAGACAGCGCTGTCCTTTGACTGCCACAGACGTGTGTGGTCTCATCGGCGCGAGCTGCAGCCCTCACCTCGCAGTCAGCGGTGCGGTAGGCCGCCACCCCGAGGCCGGTGCCGGCGACGAACAGCATGCCGCCATCGCTGTCTACGGCAAACTGCACCACGTCCCCGAGCTCCACAGGCACCGGCAGCTCCTCCTTGCGATCGGCGACGACATGCAGGTTGCGCATCCCAGTCTTGGCTGGCCCCTCGATGGCCTTCTAATGCAAGCAATACACGTACAAGAAGGAAGGAGTGGAGCGTGCTCCCAGACCGCAGCACAAGTCGCGCCAGCAGGGCGTGACGTGGCCGGCGGCAGTGCGCGGCAGAAGACCCCGGGCTGCTGAAACCCCCATGGACTCCCAAAAATGGGGTGCAGACAGCCTGTTTCTTGGGTGGATGATGATTTGTGGGTCCCATTGACCGCTGTGCCTGCCACCCACCAGGCGTGCGCCGCCGTTCTCGTGGGGAGTCGAGCGCACCACATTTGAATGGCGGAGCATCATCGTTTACCACGATTCCATGTGTTGGATGCACCCGAAGAGTTGATGAGTTTCTTTGCTGGCCCCAACCGAGCAATTACTGTGCTGCGTGTGCAGCGTGACACTGCGTTTGCCGCTTCCGCCGATGCGTGTGGCCAAGAGGAGCAACATACCCTCACCAGCTGGCCGGCTCCTCGCGTTAGTTTTGTCCGGCGGTCAACCTGTGCATTGAAATGTCTAAGCCTTGAGTAATAACTGCCCTCAGCACAGATTTGCCACGTGCACAGGGGTTGAAAAACGCCATGCATGGCCCGCAGCACCCACCCTGTTGCAATTCCCTGGTGCTGCAGTAGCTTGGAGGCTCTTGACATCCCCCAACCGCCTGCAGCGCCTCTGACAGCGAACCCCGATCTCCGGTTGGACCTGAAAAGCCTCCCGGTGAGTCGGACGCCGCCCCTGAACATCCTATCTGCGGTTGCAAGGCGTTTGGATGCAAATACCGGCAGTCAACCCGCTTGCTTGGGGTTGTTAGCTCATAACGCGAGCGCCGCCGTCAGCAGCCCAGCCCCTCGCCTCATCTCTCCCCCAAACCCGTCGCTGCCTATCCGGGTTGGCTCGCAGACCACCGCCCGCCATGCTGGCCTCCGCCACCTCCACCGCCTGCCGAGCCCTGATGGCGCCAGGCATGCATGCAATGCTGCCGGCGGCCTCCTCCCTCCTGCTGCCTGCGGCCACCCCAGCCCTCTACACGGCCGTCACCAAGCTGGCGAGCCGGCTGGAGGCGTCCAGCCGCCTGTTCAGCTCTTCCTCGGTGAGGAGACCCCACCCCGCCAGCGCTGACCAGCCTTGCACCCCCCAGCCGCCGCCCAGCTCACTGCCGCCGACGCCCCGGCGCGCCCTGCCTGGTTGCTACTCGACAGCTGACCTCACCACCATCATCCCTCTGCACACCCCCTTCTGTCCAGTTTGCTGCCAAGGCCGCCGAGCCCGCCGCCGCCGTCGCCAAGGAGCAGCAGGCCGCCAAGGCGCCGCCCGCCGACGCTGCGCAGCAGGGCAAGGTGGCGATGCACCCCGGCATGGCTCGGGATGCCGCCGCCGCGACCGACAGCTCCACCGACGTCCAGCTGAACAAGCCCGCCGGTGGAAAGTTTGTGGATTCTTACATGTGAGGTTGCTGCTGAGGTGGGCCCGCACCTGGCCGCTTGCCCCTTTGCTGACCGGTGCCGCTGGCGTGGTTGCCAGGCGAGTGCCGGTCCCACCACCCCCGCACCACCACCACCACCACTACCTGCAGGCTGATGCACCCAGTGTACAAAGGAGTATGCCGAGAGCGTGACGCCCAGCCACCAGCCACCCAAGAAGGTGGGCACGCAGTCGAGCGCCGAGCGCCGGCCAGGCCCGGTGCTCAACCCTGTTGGCCATTCTGGCCTGGCTTTGCTTGCCAGCTCGGCCGGCCTTGCCCAGCTTTTCACAGCCTGCCGGTGTCGCTCTGTCACTGCTTGCCTGACAGCCCGCCTGCCCGCCAGTTTTCTGTCTCTGCCTGACCTGCCTTTTCTTGCCTCTTCTTGCGCCGCATTGTACTGCCCCGTACTTCAGCTGCACGAGAAGGTGGGCTACTACAGCGTGCAGGGGCTGCGTAAGCTCTTCGACACCGCCACAGGGTGAGCTCACGAGCGGGCATGGTGCGCCGCGGGTGCGAGGGGGGGCTGCCATACAGGCGGAAGCATGCAATGCAATGCGGGGCAGCGCCGGTGCGTGGCGCTGGGGCCGAGGCCAGGGCGCCCTGGCCTGCCTGCTATCAAGCCGCCTCCCAGGCTGCCGCAGCGCCCGCCGCAGCGGCCAACATCTAAACACGGCGCACGCGTCGTCCCTCCCAAGTCGCATCCTTGAGCCTGCTGTACTGCCCGCCGCCGACGCTGTACCGCCTGTCCGCGCAGGTACGGCACCCAGATGAACGAGCGCAAGTGGCTGGCCCGCTTCCTCTACCTGGAGACGGTGGCTGGTGTGCCTGGCATGGTGGCCGGCATGCCAGGCACCTCCGCTCCCTGCGCACCATGCAGCGAGACAACGGCTGGTGCGCGGGGCAGCCGCGGCGGGGCTGTGGTGGCGTGGCTGCACCCGTGTGGGTGTGCACTCGCGTGTGGGTGCGTGTGTGGCCGAAGAGCAGCTACCCTGTGCGGACTCGTCCTCCTCGTGCCCCCTGCCCTCAGCCGGCACGCTCGCAGTCAGCACGCCTCCTTACCGCCACCCCTGCCCTCCGCCGCCGCCCACCCTGCAGGATCCACACGCTGCTGGAGGAGGCCGAGAACGAGCGCATGCACCTGCTCACCTTCATGCAGCTCCGGCAGCCGGGTATCATGTTCCGCGCCGCGGTGCTGGCAGGCAGGCCAGGGTGGGTGGGAGCCGCCTGACCGCCTTGGCTGCGCCGCGCTGCAGGCTGGGGGGCTGTATGCGCCGGAGCTTGCGCGGCACACCAAGCCTCGTGACCACGCCCCTGCCGAAGCCGCTCGCAGCTGGGCCCGCGCCTCGCCTTGCATCACCACGCCTGCCTGCCCGCCTCCCCCCCCTCCCCTGCAGCCTTCTTCTTCAATGCCTACATGATTGCCTACACCGTCTCCCCCAAGACCTGCCACTCCTTTGTCGGGGTGCGCAGCATACAGCAGGGTTCTGTGCTGCCGCTGGCGTGCCTTGCTGATGTTGCTGATGCCTCGCTGGCAGTTTTGCTGCTGGCATGCGACGTGCTGCCGCAGCAGCCTCTCCCTGGCCACCGTGTTCCTTACCTGCTGCCGCACAGCGTCGAGTCCATTGCTCGCCTTGCCATGCCCTGCAACCTGACGTGCGTCGCATGTACCTTGCACCGCCTGTACTGCCCATTGTACTGCAGTACCTTGAGGAGGAGGCCACCGCCACCTACACCCGCGCCATCCAGGACCTGGACGCCGGCAGGCTGGAGCAGTGGAGCCACATGGATGCCCCCGCCATTGCCAAGAAGTACTGGCGCCTCAGCGCCGACGCAAACATGCGGGACCTGCTGCTGGCCATCCGGGCAGACGAGGTGGGCAGAGCTTATTACGCATTCAGGGGTTTAGGGCTGGGGCTGTGCTGGGGGTGGGCTGGGATGGGGTAGATGGAGGTGTGGTGGCAGGGGCTGGGCGGCGAGGACGGGGACCAATCCTGTGAGCGGCTCAGGCCGGGTGGGCCCGGCAGCCGGCTGCCGACGTCTCCCTCCACGGACGCTGCGCGCGCCTGCCGGCCCTGCTGCAGGCCTGCCACATGCACGTCAACCACACTCTGAGCCACCTGGACAAGGATGCACCGAACCCTTTCCAGCCCGGCAGCGTGCATGTGCCCTGAGCGGGGTGCAAGCGACTGTCGGTGGCAAGGGCTGGCTGGCGGCGGGTCCACGGCGGGCGCCGCCAATGCTTGGCTGGCAAGGCCGCTCTGCGGCCCGTTGGAGCCGGCACACTTGGTATTGCTTTCATACATCCCTTTGAATAGTCCCAACGAGTTGCCCCAGGACAATTTGACATTCTTGTACCGTCAACTAATCTATTGGTTATCTTGTGCCGCCGCGCCAACCCGTGCCGCCGCGGGCCGGCAAGTTTCATTGTGTGTCTTTCATTCCTATCTATACATATTAGATCGGTCATTGAAATGACTTGTGTACGTCTCTCTCTCTTAGTAGTATGCCTCGTCCACTGCTGCATATATCTATGCTGTCGTGTTCTGCCAGGGTGTCCACTCACCTCCCGCTGTGGATCTCTGCTCACGATGCGCCGCGGGAGCACTGCTCCTGACAACCATGTCCCATCCTTGCTGTAAAAGATAGTGAAGCGTGGGCCAGGGAGGGCCAGGGAGAGCCACGGAGGCGGGCCCAGCTGTCGGTGCCCGTGGAGCCGCGCACATCGGCGTTTGCAACAGGGCTGCCAACAGCCTGACAATCGGTCCTCTGCAGCCGCACCTCATCCATGGTCAAAACTACCGATTATATTGGGATAGCATGCTGTGTCCTCAGAATCATCCATCTATCATCTCCCAGTCTGGAAATGGGGGCGGTTTTCTGAGGCGGCACAGTACCGCGTGTGTACTGCACCAGCCCCTTTGTAGGAAGCGCTTTGGACCCCACGATGAATCGGCAACGCGGCCTGCCGGTAGCATGGCGCGGCGGCTGGCGCTGCAGCCATTCAGGCAAGCTCGGGGCGTCTGCAGTTCTCGCCTCGCTCTATCGGTTCGCCTCACCACCTTTCCCACTCGATCCCACTGACAAGACGATCCACTCGCCCCGCACAGGGCAGCGAATGGCGCGGCGGCACTGCTGGGTCCCCCTGGCACCGCCTCCCGCTGCGCCGCCGCCGCCGCCGCTCTAGCAGCGGCATCGCTGCTTCAACCAGTCACACCTGCAGCTGCCTGCCAGCGGCTTTTCAGCAGCCACGGTGGCAGTTCTGGCAATGCCATCACTGAACCGCTGCCGGTCGTCACAACGCAGCCACAGCCAGGAGAAGCAGCAGCTGGGGACGGCCCTCGGTTGCGTGTGCAGTTGGTTCGGGAGTTCATCCAAGACAGCCTGTACCACCCCACAGAGGGCTACTTCAGCAAACAAACCGCCACAGGTGGGTAGCCCCTTGCTGTCTCGTCGCTCCCTCGCTGCTGCCACCGCTGCTGCCCCTCTTGCATTGCCACGCTTGCGCTGAGGCTCACCCATCGGCCTGCCAGTGATCCTTTCAAGCTCCAAAGAGTATTGGTCACCCTCCCCGCCCTTATAACAACCCGTCTGCCGGCGCCGCTACCGCCGCAGGCGCCGCGGTGGTGGGCAGCCTAGCGGCGCCTCTCGACTTTCGCCGCCTGGCGGGACAGATGCAGTACCTTCAGGCTGTACAGGAGCAGTACAGGCAGCTGCAGGCCTCCTGGCTCACCCCGGTGGAAATCTTCCAACCGCACTACGGCCGGGCGGTGGCCGCCTGCATCCTGCACCGCTGGCGCCAGCTGGTTGCACAGCAGGCTCAGCAGGAGCATTACGGGCAGCAGCAGCAGGCGGCGCAGCAGAAGCAGCAGCGGCAGCAACTGGTAGCACAGCAGCAGGAGGAGCGGCGGCCATCGGCACAGCAGGCGGCAGCCGCCCCGCCACCCCTTCTGATTTACGAGATAGGCGGCGGCACCGGCACCCTGGCCCGCAACATCCTGGTGCGCACGCTGGCTGCACCTGCATCGCCGCAGGCTGCCGCATGCCCGCTTTGGTTCCGTGGCGCAGCTGCATCGCCTGCTGCTGTCACTCGCACCGCCTGCATGGATGCTGCTGGATCAGCGAGTGAATGGCCGAAAGGTGCGGCCTCGCCCAAGCCCCGCCAGTCCTTGCCTTGCCTCATCGCTGCCTTCTATCCCTACTGCAGGACTGGCTGCGGGAGGCCCACCCTGAGGCCTACCACACTGCTCAGTATCGCTGCATAGAGATCAGCCCAGTCCTGGCAGAGCTGCAGCGGCAGAAAGTGGCGGCGGAGGGCGGCCACGCCACGCGCTTTGCGGTGCGGCGGCACGATGCGGCAGATGCGGCGGCGTGGGCGGCGGCGGACGCCGACGAGCGGCGGCAGCAGCAGGAGGGCGGGCAGCATCAACAAGAGGAGGACAAACACCACCACCGCCACCACCATCACCACTGCTTCATCATTGCCTGCGAGGTGCTGGACAACCTGCCGCACGACAGGTGGGCTGGCGGCTGCCGACGGCTGCTGCTGCCATTGCATATTCGTAAGCCAGGAGCCATAGCATATCGAATTGCCGCGCCATGCTGCCTGCGGGGCCGCCCCCCTGCAACACCATAGGCACCAGCTGCGGCCACGCCCGTGCGGGATGCAGGGTGCGGCGCGACATGAGCAGCGCCCAGTGGCAGCAGACTCTGGTGGCGCAGGCGGACCTGCGGGAGGCGCTGCCCGCCTGGCGCCGCCACCACCCGGCCACAGGCGGCGACTGCTTCGAGCTGCTGCAGGCGGCCGCCGACCCCCTGATCCTGCGCTGCCTGGCGGCCATGGAGGAGCGCAGCGGCGGCGGCAGCGAGGGCGCCGGAGCGACAGGGAGGGGAGGGTCCGGGCTGGCGCTGGCAGCAGCCCGCGCATGGCGCAGGCTGGTGGGGGAGGGGACCGGCGAGATGCGCTGGCTGCCCACCGGCTGCCTGCAGCTCCTGGACACGCTGCATCAGGTGAGAGCCCTTTGCAGCAACGGCAGATGCCACCTGCGGGGGCTCGGTTGCCCACAACCACGCTTCCGGGTGTGCGGTGCAGGGGCAGGGCATGCATTGGAGGCAGCCTCCCAACACACAAACACACACACACACACACACACACACACAGCACACACACACCCTACGGCTGCCGCTGTTCTGCTCCTCCTGGTGGGCTCCAGGCTCGGCCCAGCCACACCCTCATCGCCGCCGACTTCGACTGCCTGCCCGAGGTGTCGGTGGCTGGGGCGAATGCGCCGCTGGTGGCGACCACGGTGAGTGCTGCGCACATGCACGGCCAGCCACACGGCACGGCATGATGCCGATGTGTGTGTGTGTGTGTGTGAGTGTGTGTTCTGGCGGTGGCAGTCTACTCGCCTTGCTGGCAAGCTGTCCGCGCCCTCTCTGGCCCCTCCACACACACCACACAGCGCACCCACAGAAGCCACAGACGCGCTGCTCCTCTCCCATCACAATCTGGTGCAGGTGGGCGGCACCACGGTGGACCACGGCTCCTACCTGGTACCTCGTGGCACCGCCGATATCTTCTTCCCCACCGACTTCCCGCTGCTGTGCATGCTGTATCGCCAGGCAGCTGCGGTGCACCGGCACACCCGAACCGAAGCCGCCGGCGCCGGCGCTCCAGGCGGGGCGGCGGCAGTGCCGGTGGCCGGAATGGGAGTAGCCGACGAGGTCCCAGCGGCGGCAGCGGCAGCGGCTTCCGTGCCGGCCCGGCCATCCGACAGGGAGACGGAGGCCACGGCGGAGCACATGTGTACCGCAGACTTCATGGCGCTGTACTGCCCCGACCCGGGTGCCACCGCCACCCGTGACGGCTACAACCCGCTGCTCCAGGACTATTCCAACACCGCTTTCTTCCTGGGCAGCAGCTGCAGCGTTGATGGTGGCCTCGTCGGCAGCAGCAGCAGCAGCGGGACAAGCAGCAGCAGCGGCGAGAGCAGCGGCGGCAGCAGCAGCGGGACAAACGGCAGCAGCAGTGCCGGCGGCGCATAGCACAGGCTGTGCCATGTGGTGGTCGCTCTCTTCCAATATGTTGTATTGGGGTGGAACATTCCCTCCTCCCTATTTTCGTGCAACAGCGTGGTTACACCAAAAACTGGTGGAGTGGCCGTCACTGGCGTGGGAGGCCAGGGAGGGTGGGGCCTGGGTGCGCCCCACAGCAGAGCAGGCGATGCTGTGCTGGAAGGAATAGGGAGGTAAGCATCGGAAACGTGGCGGAGGCTGGGCAGGAGGAGGGCAGAGCGAAAAGCAAGGTGGGGGTGGGGGAGTGCAGCAAGAGGGTGCCCTCTGGACACGCAAGGCAAGCGCCTGTGCCGCATGGCCCTGGCTTCCGGGTCGGCGACAACATGGACGTGGGCAGCAGGCTGGCAGCGCCTCGCGAGGGTGCAGGACCAGAGGGAGCAGGGGCCCGGGGGCGCCTGCGGCTTGCCTAGTGCGTGTGTACACGCTGTACCGACAGGGCCACCTACTTGGCTGCCTGCATCAGCGTGATGGTGTCCCCCTTGAGGAGGATGCGCCCCAGCGCCTTGCGTGTCTTGCGCTTCACTGCAGGGCCGAGCAGATAGGCATGGGGTGGGGTTGGCAGGCAAGGGGAGGGTTGGCAGTCCGTGGCGCAAGGGGTGGGGTGGGCATCCAGCCAGCATCTCCCTGGCCGGGCTCCAGGAAGCGACACCCAGCTCAAGCGGTGGCAGAAACAGCTCCCGCAGGGAGCTGCAGCCGCACAGCAGCCCTCCGCCAGGCAGCCCTGGCACCAAGGCAGCAGCGAGCGGCGGCGGTGGAGCCAGGCGCCGCACCTGACACCTCTTCCGCCTCATCCAGCACTAGATTCATGTACTCATCAAAGCCCTGCACGGATGCATAGAGGTGGGGCTGGCTCATCACGCTCCACAGCGAAGCCCGCCTGGCGTCAACCACTGCACCCGCCAGGCAGCGACACTGCTCGAAGACGGATGCTATCTGCATGCTGCGCGCCCGATACCGCATCCAGCTCACGCCGCGGCCGATGCGCACACCATACCGGCTGCAGCAGCTGCATGATCCCACGGGCGTGCCCACTGGCAGACAGCAACGACAGCGGGCAGGCGGGGCAGCGGGCCGGTGGTGGGCTCACGATGATGCGCCCCTCGATCCGCAGATCGTTGTGCTCGTAGAGCCATATCTGAATTTTCTGTCGGCTCTGCAAAAACCTGAAGATCAGGTTCTGCAGGCGCAGCAAAGCGGGAGGTGGTGAGGGGCGTGTGGCGCTGCTTCTGTCCATGCAGGAACAGCTGGATGGCCCGCGCCAGCACGCCAGCAACGCATGGCGCCGCTGCCAGGCGCCTGCACGCGACTCACGATGGGCTGTGTCATAATACGCTTCACTTTGGGCGGCATGGTTGCTGCTGACTACTATCGCGACGACCCAGTGGCAAAGCGACCTTCGCTGGCGAGTGAGGCGGTGAAGGGCGGGCAATCGGGGGGCGATGGGCCTTGTGTAGGGCGGAAGGGCGGAGTCCGAGCTAGGCAGGTCACGATGCGAGGCCCCCGGCGGCTGCAGCGACCAAGAAGAGACTGGACATGTACTCGGTGCGTACGGCAAGGCAGCTCCAGAAAACCAGCGCACAGGCGATCAGAGCGCGCTGCCTCATCCAAACGTGCTTTGTCGCAACAACCCCGCAGCGTGTCCCCAAACAAGCTGCCCTCTGATCCCACAGTTGTGTAACCCCAGCCCCCGAGACGCCTGTTAGCCTCTGCACAGGCCCAGACACGGCCGCCCAGTGTCTACAGCTGGCGCCAGGGTGCCGCCCGGGGCGCTGAGCTCCCCCCCTCCCCCCCTCGCGCTGTGGCGTCCCACCACAGGCCGCAAGGCGGGCGCCGCCGGCCCCGTCCTGCCCGCCACCCGCTCCGCCCCAGACATGAATGCTTCTGACGCCGAGCGGCAGGACCTGCTGCCGGGCTCGCTGTCGGCGGCGGGAGGCAGCAGCGCCCCCCCCCCTGGCGGCGGCGACTGCCTGCTGCACATCTGCCGCGTCTTCAACTTCCTCACCTCCGTCTGCGCCCTCCTGTGTGCCTTGGCCTTCGGCATGTCCATGTGGGTGCGGGGCGACGCCACAGTTAAGGTGAGGAGGCCGGCCAAGCGGAGCAGCAGCGGTCAGGAGGCGCAGCAGCGGAGCGGCAGCAGGGCGTGGCACCGGCGGGCCTCCTTTCTGCGCGTCCGCCTGCAGGTTGTTGCACCAGCTGCAAAACCCTAAACCGTACCCCGCCGCATCGCCACCCCCGCAGGACGCATACTTCTACAGTGGCCAAGCGGTACGCGTGTTTGGTATCGCCATCGCGCTGCTCATCGTACTGGTGGAGACTGAGTGGCACCGCTTCATGCACCTGGTGCCGCTGCTGGACGCCTGGCTCGGGCGCGGCATCCTGCATGTGAGCCCCGCCTGCGGCAGCGCCTGTCCAGGCCTGGATGCCTGGCTGTCGCTGCCGCCGAGGCCGCTGGGGGAGCCGCAGGGCTGGCCGCTCCGCTGGCCCCTGAGGCTCTCCCGCCTGCGTCTCGGCCCCTCCGCTGTGCCCCTCGCGATGCGAGTGAGCTCACCAACGCATGGTCCCGTCACCGTGGCCCCCGCAGATCTTTGAGGCCACCCTGACCTTCCGGGAGGCGTATCCCAGCGGTACCACCGACTTCCACAAGTCGCTGGAGCTGTACCGCTCGGGTGGGGCGCCCTGCCGCCGCAGCTGCCCCCGCTCCCGCCACCCCATTCCCTGCCTGGCCATGGGCTGTCTTGCCTCAGAGCGCAGCCGTGCCTGCCGTGCCCTCCCGCCCTTGGCCCTGCCTCACCAGCCCTCCCTGCGCCCGCGGGCTCTGGGCCGCAGCCGCCAGCCTGAGCCTGCTGGTGTGCGGCTCTGTGTACATCCTGGGCGCGGTGACATGCATCGGCGTGATAAAGAACGGTGAGGCGGTGCGGTGGCGAGGCGTGAGGCATGAGGCGCTGGTACAAGAACAATGCTGGCGTGGTGGAGGGAGCATTTTGCAGGAGATGCGGGCGGGGTGCAGGGTTTTAGGGAGGGTGGGCAGCGTGTGTGGAGGAACAGGGAGGGCTCAGCGGGGGCAAGAGGTGCCTGGAGACAACGCCATGTGCCCCGGCAGCAGCTGCCGGCGCTTGGGCGACCGCCCCCGTGCCCCCGCTGCGCCCCTCGCCCCTGCAGCCAAGCAGCGCCAGGAGCAGCAGGTGCAGCGTGCGGAGGCGGAGCTGGAGCGCATGGAGCGGCGCAAGAAGGAGCTGGAGCGGCAGCTTGGGCGCCCGCCGCCGGCGGGCTTGTTCCTCTAGGGGTTGGTGCGCAGCTGGCGGGCCTCGGACTGTAGAGGCGGGCGCAGCGTCGGTCGTCCCGATGCCTCTTCGAGGCGGCTGCTGTGGTTGCGCTTGACGAGGTTGTGGTGGGTTGGGGCTGCGATCGCTCCACCCCCGCCCCCTCACTGCTGCCCCCGGCTGCCCTGCGGTGTTCCCTTGTTTCCCGTGCTAGCAGCTTCGGGCTGCCAGCCGGCGCTGCCTGTTGTGTAGTGTTTGTACTCTTAGCCCTTGTAAATTAGACGTTGAAACTTGTCCTACGTGCGGCAGCGGAGGGCGGCGTGGCAGTGGCAGCCACCTCTCCCAAACAGGGCAGGCCCCCAATCTTCCCTATCAAATGCACAGAGCCTGATCCAATACGAATGGGTGGAATGGGGATGTGCCCTGAGCGAGCCTTGGTGACTGCTGGATGAAGGAGGGGCTGCTGAGCTGCAGAGTGGTGTGCGCTTGAGGGTCGGCGGGACCGTCGTGAAGACACGCGGGGGCAACAGCTCTTCTGCAGGAGCCGCTGGCGCCGTCCCCATCCCTGAGGCCGTTATTCAATGTCAATTCATTGTGCAAGTTTCACAGCATAGAACATGTGAGGGGAACGAGATACCAGGACTAAGCAAAAAATTGACAAGACGGCACGGCACGGAGGCCCAACCAGGCACAGAGTTTGGAGCAGCGAGCGAAACAGGGGCTGACATTTAGCTAAGCAAATGGGTTTGGAAAAAGAATGAAAAAATAAGTGCATTCCATGTGTGGGCATTCATTTGCAGCGCTAGAATAAGGGGCAGTAGTACAGGGGTTGGAAGAGGAGGATAGGGGCTGCACATGCATGGAATGCATGCAGCCATAAGCAAACGCAAGGGATTGGGGCGAACTATGCGGCCCCTGCATACTGTATCAAGGGGGAGATGCGACGCTGACTTGCCAGCCAGCTGGAATCGTCATGTTAGCTGCCAGTGCGCCGCCGCAATGGCTGGCGGCAGCTCAGCGGCTGCCGAAGCTGTCTTCGGTACCGGTGCCGGTGCCGGGGGCCGCATCCTGCACGTGCGCAAAGCTCTCGCTGTGCCCCATGGGCCTTGGGTGGTAGCCACAGGCGGTGCTCTGGGTGGGCTGCGTGCGGTGGCCGGTCAGGCACGCCTTGCCGCTCGT